CCGCGCGGGAGCCACCGCCCTCCCCGGGCGCAGCGCCCAGTCCCCTGCGCCTGCATCGAGCCCGAGGTGAGGTTCCGGGGGTCGGACGGGAGTAGGGAGAGGGAGCGGGAGAAGGTGTCCTCGGGGCGCCGGGCTGCCCTTTTGCTCAGCGACCGGCTCGCTAATCTTCGAGGCCTGGGAGGAAGCGTCAACGATGTGTCTGGGATGGGGCTTCCAACCCAGGTCTTTCCTGTGAGGGTGGCCCCTGGTAGCCAGACGGTCCTCTGGGCTCCGAGCTTGGCCCCTCGGGCGCTGGCGGCTCTGTTTTCCTCTCCAGGGCTCAATTGCTTCCACTGTGGGGTCTTGGATTAGGTGACCTGCGGCTGCCCCTTGCCTGACTCTAGACGCTCCTCCGACTCGCCTCCCCTGGAGCCTTTTCAAGTCTCCCGGGCCCGGAGAGGGCGTCGCGTCCGTCTCCGCCCGGCCGCTGTAACCCCGCGCTCCTTCTCTCCCCGCAGCCGAGGAAAAGTCGTGCGCCGCGGACAGCGACCCGGAGCCGGAGCGACTGAGCGAGGAGCGCTCCGGGCCGGCGCTAGGCCGCAGCCCAGCTCCGGACAGCGCCAGCCCCCCTCGCTTGACCGAACCCGAGCGCGCCCGGGAGCGACGCAGTCCGGAGAGGGGCAAGGAGCCGGCCGAGAGCGGCGGGGACGGCCCGTTCGGCCTTCGGAGCCTGGAGAAGGAGCGCTCCGACGGCCGGCGGAAGGACGAGGGGCGCAAGGAGGCGGGCGAGGGCAAGGAGCCTGGCCTGGCGCCGCTGGTGGTACAGACTGACAGTGCGTCGCCCCTGGGCACCGGACACCTGCCCAGCCTGGCCTTCTCCAGCCACCTGCACGGGCAGCAGTTCTTCGGGCCACTAGGAGCCGGCCAGCCGCTCTTCCTGCACCCAGGACAGTTCGCCATGGGCCCCGGCGCCTTCTCTGCTATGGGCATGGGTCACCTGCTGGCCTCGGTGGCAGGCGGCGGTGGCAATGGTGGAGGCGGCGGACCCGGGACCACCGCGGGGCTGGACGCAGGCGGGCTGGGTCCCGCGGCCAGCGCAGCAAGCACCGCCGCGCCCTTCCCATTCCACCTCTCCCAGCACATGCTGGCATCTCAGGTAAGGCCTGTGATCTGGTGGCAGAACAGAGGGAGGAAGAGCTGCGAGCTGGGTGGCTGAGGCGAGCAGAGGGCTTGAGTGGGACCAAAGGTGCTCCGAGTGTCCAACAGGCAAGAACTCCATAAAGGGGAGGCCTGATGGACTCTTTCCATGACACCTCGGTTCTGAGAAACGAAGACTGTAGGTCCAGGGTCTGGCCAGGGCACTGCATCTGACTCCCGTGTGACCTTGTGCAAGTCCCTTACCTTCTCTGGGCCTGTTTCATTCCCTATAACCCCAGCAATGAGTGAGGCACCCATCAATAGTCTTCTGACTCTGACAGACCAGGGCTGCCCCTGGCTTTTGCCAAGTCCGCTCTCCTGGCGTCAGGAAAAATTTTCTGGGAGAAAAGACCCTGGGTTCCCTGTCAGTCCTGAAAGACTAGGGTGGCTGGATAAAGGGAGAAGGAAATTTTGCATTGTTTTCTGGACAATTGACCACCTAAATGACCCACCTCCCAGACGTCTCTGGCCCCATTCAGGCCCTATACAAAGTCCTCTACCCTGGCAGAGGACAAGACTGGTCTGTTCCCCCAAGTCCCCCAGGCACATCTCAGGGAAGGGGGGCTCAGTTCCCCAGGCCCTGGTTGAAATTCTGAGCTCCCACGGGAGAGTTTATGAAAATGTGGCCAGCGGCACACTAAGGAGATCTGATGGGGAGAGCGGCCTCTTTGGTTGCTTGGGTGGAATATTCCCTGTGGAAAGATTTGGAATCTCTTCATTCATTTTCTTCCCTCTGAGGTTTCTGGCAAATTGAACCCTTGAGATCTTATCTCAAGGGAAGGAAAATTGGAGTTCAGGTCTGAGAAAGCTCCTTTGGTTCAGAAGCAAATATTTTTAAAGTTGGGGGGGGGGTTCTGAAATGAGTTTGGAACAGAGCTCAATGTCAGTGTGTATGGACACTTTGAGGTTCCAGCATCACATATGTAGGGCTCTGGGCTGCAGGAGAATGGCGTTCAGGGCATTGGAGGTTTAATCTGCACCCTTGTTTCTGTGTGTATGTGAATGCCTCCTCCCTGTACAAACTCTGCTGATGAAGGCGGGTGTCGTTGAGGTCATGGGGAAGTCAGGGCTTCTAGACACAGCCTGCTCAGCAGGTGCACAGCCAGGGTGAGAGTACCCAGCACTCAGGGGGCATCAGCTGCTACAAGTACTGGTGGTTAAGTTCTCAGACCAGTGCAGCCCTTCCCAGCCCTCAGGTAAAGCCAAATCCTGGGACATCTGTCACCTCCTTCCTTCCTCCCAACCTGAGATGCTGGGTCTGAAATGTCCAGCAGGGCTTGACCCCCTCAGGAAGGGTATTTTCTCACTGACTCAGCTACCTCTTTCCTTTTCCCTGCTTGAGCCAGGCCTGAGGCTTCCAGGGGAGCCCAGAACAGTCAGCCCCCTGCCCTCCTCCCCATGCCCACACACTCCAGGGAGTGAGCCATTATCTCAAAGGTCAGATAATCCCAAACTCAGGCCTCATGAACTCAGGCGGTGTCTGTCCAGGGTTCCTGGCTGCTGCGCTCTCCACAGGCAAAGACTTTGCATTCCTTCCTCAGCTGCCACTGAGGTGCTCACGCCAGGAGTTCTCTGCAGAACACTCAGGCCAGTTTTCTGAACTGGTTGGCACCTGTGCCCTTTTCCTGGCGCAGGCAGGAGACCCCTGAACAGGTGAGCAGGCAGAAGGGGACTTTCCAAAGCTCCTCCCCTAGCCTGTGTTCCCTCAGCCCTTTGGAGCCTGCAGACAGGAGGGGTGGGGAGCACTGCTCTAAATGAGCAGAACCTCCCAAGACAGCCGGAGCGGCCTGCCTGCCACCTGGCCCTATGCCTGCCTGGCTTCCTCCCCCAGGCCTTTGCCTATGCTAGTTCAGCCACCTGGAATGTCCTTTCCCTTACCCCTACTGTAATACCCAGCACAGAGCTTGATGGCAGGCCTTTGCATCATAGCCTGAAATAATCTCCCTCTTCTAACTGAGTTTGGCCATGGCTCATGCCTACCTGTGCTGCCTGTGGTCATAGTTATGTGAGCTCTGGTTTTATATCCCTAACACAGCCGGGCAAGGAGTGCTGGTTACAGCACCACCCCCACCACGCAGACCACCCTCAGAAATACCTCAGGCAGGACGTCTAACCCTTGTCTTGTTCTGTTTCTTCTAGGGAATCCCAATGCCCACTTTCGGAGGCCTCTTCCCCTACCCCTACACCTACATGGCAGCAGCGGCCGCAGCCGCCTCGGCTTTGCCGGCCACCAGTGCTGCGGCTGCGGCTGCTGCGGCGGCTGGCTCCCTATCGCGGAGCCCCTTCCTGGGCAGTGCCCGGCCCCGCCTGCGCTTCAGCCCCTACCAGATCCCGGTCACCATCCCGCCTAGCACTAGCCTCCTCACCACCGGGCTGGCATCCGAGGGCTCCAAGGCTGCAGGGAGCAACAGCAGGGAGCCCAGCCCCCCGCCCGAGCTGGCTCTCCGCAAAGTGGGGGCCCCGTCCCGTGGTGCCCTGTCGCCCAGCGGCTCAGTCAAGGAGGCGGCTAGTGAACTGCAGAGCATCCAGAGACTGGTGAGTGGGCTGGAGAGCCAGCGAGCCCTCTCCCCCAGCCGGGAGTCGCCCAAGTGAGGGGCTGCCCAGCTGCTCCGCCGCCATGCAGGCCTCCCGGGCTGCCTGCCCCTGCTGCTTGGGACGTGTACAGCACAGAATGGGTATTTATTTAAATAAAGGAGCAAAAGTGGGCTGCAGCAGCCAGAATAGAGCCTCGTCTGGCACGTTGGGGCCTGGGAAACTTCCCTGGGCCTCAACAAGAATCGGGCTGCCGGGAACACAGTCGCTTTGGAGCCACCGGACTCGGTCCAGATCTGCTCCAACATTAAGGTGTGGCGTCGGAGGGGTCTCTCCGGTCTTCCAGCTCAGTGGAGAGGCCTTATCTCCGGCCCAGCGGTCCCTTCAGAAGCCAGAAGGTGCAGGGGCCAGGGGTGGGGGCTTCGAAGGGTGTCCTAGAGCCCTTGGCCTTGGGGCCGGACCGGACTGTGTGAGAAACTGGGGTGGAGGATGCAGGAGCCAGTGAAGACTAAAGTCAGTGTAGACTTGAGCTGGGGGACACCTGTCCTTTCAGTCGTCCCACCTCTTCCCCCAAGAGACGGGCACCCCTCCTACCCCTGGGTCAGCGGAGGGAGTGGCGCTTCTGCCTTGAGTCCCCAGGGAAAAAAAAGATATTTATGAAATAAATGGTAATTTGTGTAAATAAGCTTTAAGGTTCCCAGAATATGCAAATTGGTATTAATTTATTCAAAGGTGTACATTGCTGTGTACATATATTTAGAGATTAACTCATAGCATTTAATTTTTTTCCATTTTACATGAGCATCTATATTGTACAGGGCTGAAGGGGCTCTTGGCTGCGGGAGAAGGCCCCGAGCCCCGGAGCAGCCCCCACCCACCCCGCCGGCCCCCCGCCCCTCCGCCCGGGCTTTGCTCGCCCGGCCAGCGGGCTCCACCTCAGGTTTTCACTTTTCGCTTCGGAGCGAGAACGAAACGACAAAAACGCGAGAAAACAATAAAACGCTACCATGCGAAGTGAACGGCGGCGCTGTGCGCTCTGTGGGCCGCGCGGGGCTGGGGCGCTGCAAGCGCGTAAAGAGGGACCAGCAGCGGGGACAAAAGGTCGGGCGCCCCTTGCTCAGCGGCAGCTGCACCCCGGAGGCGACAGCTCGGCTGGGGCCTCGGGCAGAGCCGCGAGGCCGAGCGGCGCCGGCGCGGGGCGCGGGCTGGGCCAGGAGGCGCCGCGCCGCCTCGCGCCGCCGCGCCCCTCAGGTCCCCCGCGTCCCCGGCCGGGGCCGGGCTCCCTCTGCTGGCCACTCGCCGCCTGTCCGCCGCTCCACGCCTCGTGCCTGCGCACTGGAGCAGGAGAGGCGCGCCCGAGCGCCCTGGACTCCCGACTCCTTTTTTGGGGCACCGTGGTGGAAATGCATCCCCTCTGGGTGCGTACTCCTGCCCCCTCCCTTCCGAGGAGGGATTTGGCGTGCCCTACCCACAAATACCTCTGACCCTACTAGAGAAACATTTTTTCCGTGTCAAGACTGTTGACTAGAGTGGCAAAATCTGGCTTAAAAGTTCTTCCCAAATCCCTCTTGGGGGTGTGGAGAGTGTAGATCGATAGGCTATTCCCTTTCCTGCCTCAGTTTCCCCTGTATAATAATGATCAAAGTCTCTCTGGGGGCCCTGCTGGGTCAGACTCCATTGATTGAGCTGGTCCTTTCCCAGCCGCCCACTCTTGCAATGATAGCTGCCACCCGCCCCCATCCAGTGAGCTCCTGAGGGCGCCATCTTCTCTCCTCCTCCTCCTCACCCAGCTAGCGTGTGTCTTCAGCCCCCAATCTTAGCAATGGGGGTGGTGAAGGGGTGGGATATGGGCGGTCACCCCTTCAACCATGGGTCTGTCAGTTACCGATCACGCCACCTCCGTCCCAAGTCTCTCCTCTTTGAGCCTTAAGGATCCTTGACGCCCTGGCCGGGCAGGCTGCCCACTTTGGGCACTGCAAGGGGTGGGGGATAGGGTGGAATAGGGGTGTTGGCTTCCAACTCCACAGGGACACCAGGGGTGGTGAGATAGAGTGAAGGGGGAAGTGGAATTGACAGTTGGGCCTCCAAACGCCCAGGACGCCTTCGTGGGCCGACGCGTTTGTCAGGAGAGAGAACCGCGTCCTCCTCTCCCAGGAGGGCGCTGCCCCCAGGACGCTGAATGCGGCTGGAGGGGGTAGGGGCACCGGCCAATGCGGGAGCGGGAGGGCGCAGAAAGCCACGTTCCAACCCCCGGAGGGTGGGTCCCGGCTTCTCTGCCTCAGACCTGCGGGCGGGACGCGGAAGGGGCAGGCCAGGAACCCGGCGGGGACAGGTAAGCCCCTTTCCCAGCTCGAATACAATCCCTCGTGGGCAGTGTGTTTATTCAAGGTGGCTTTGGGCCGAGACGCCTCTAAAGTTCGTAGAGCAGGGGCGCGCTCGCGTCTCCCGGCCTCTCACTTTCAGCGTGACTGCCGTAGGAGGGAGAGCTGGAGTTGGCTGCGGGCCCGCGGCGGCCTGCGGACGGGGCTGCTGACACCAGGGGGCAGCACTGACCTGGGGCCCGCGTTGCAGCCGCGTTCTGGTCGTGTCGTTGCCGCAACAACCCGGGTGGGGTGAGGTGGTACCCCAGGGCCTAGAGATTCCCCGCGCCCCCGCTGCAGCCTCCTGCGGCACACGTCCCCGCCCAGAGTCGCCCATCCGGCGCTGCGCTGGGCCCCAGCTGGGAGCCTCAGTGCGGCTGCGGGAACCTGCGGCCCGCGGCTGGGCCTAGTCCCAGACAAAGGTCGGGCCACTCCCAGGCCCAATTAAGCCACCCGCCTCCCTGGCCTCCCAGCCCTCATTGTCTCCGGGGTCGCCAATTAGCCCAGGCGCCCCGCGTACCCGCTGCTCCGGTGCCCCAAGGCCTCCTTAACCCTTCAGGGCCTGGCACCAGGGGCCCTGGACGGCAAAGCTGCCAGCACGCGAGCCTGTGAGGACAGCGTGTATGGGCGTGATGGGGATAAGGGGTTGCTGAGGCCTGTTGGTGACCTAGACTGTCGCCGTGGGACCTCGTGAGCTGGGAGTGTAGGGTCTGAGAGGAAATTGTGCGTGTCAGTCAGTGTGGGCTTGTGAAGGTGATTCACGGGAGGACTCGGAACCCAGGGTGTGAGCGTGGGGGCTCCGTGAGACCCCTGGCGGCGAAACCACGCATCCCGAGAGCTAAGGGACGGCGTTTCCTCCCCAGTTAATCGGAGTCTTCCGAGCCCTCGAGCCATTCCTTCCCCCACTTCCCCGCTGCTGCGATCTGGAGCGTGAGTGGCTCGGTCCTGCCCCGCCGAAGGGGCACGGCCCGGGGCCACCGCCCCAGCGCCGCAGCCAGCTCCGACGCGGGGCATTCCTGGGGACGGGAGGGGCGCGATCAGCCTTGCGCTCCCTGGGATGCCTCCACATAAACCCCGACCCCCCACTTCCTGGCTGTGGGACGGCCCCTTGAGGGACAGCCTCAACGAGACCTTGATTTAAACTCTGAGCCTGCCTTCCTCCGCTTTGGGAAGGACTCAAACTCCAATCTTGCTTCCTCTCCCTCCTGCGCCGTTCTTGACCCCAGAGTTCGGAGCACCAGCCCGCATGCAGGGTCCCGAAAAAGTCTCAGCGCTCGTGCTCTGTGGACTGGGCGGCGGCGGAGGGGAGTCCTGTGCGCACTTGGGGACTGGGGCAAAGGGGAGGGAGTCCGAGCTCCGGGTCCTCTCTGGGCACTCTCCCGGGTGCGCCCCTCGCTAAATGTTTCGGTGCCTCTGTCTAAGGACGCCTGGGACCTGTTTTGCCCTAGGAGTTACTTTTCTGCTCCACCTCATTTGATGGGTCCCGGGACCCACTCCGGAAGCTCCGGATTTCCAGAGCCGGAGGCCACCCCTCTTTTCCCGGCCTCTCCTCTAGGCGCCGCTTGCAGCTCCCCGGCGGGAGCGAACCCGCGCAGTCCACGGGCCGTGGCAACTCCCCAAATGACCACGAGATGGCGCTCCAGGCCAGTGGCCGGCTGCGGCCGGACAGCGCTCCGGGAGCTAGATCCGGAGTAGATCCAAGCCCAGAGACCAGCACAGGCAGCCGAAGAATGAGGGGTTCCGGACAGGGGCTGCGGACACATAGATGAGGCCGCCTCCCCTTCTCCCAGTGGCCACCCTGTAGTGCCAGCTGCCCCACCTGGGAGGCCCAGTTGCAAACACCGGCAGTCGTCTACTGTTGCCTGGCTGGACTGGAGCCCTTGCGATCCCTCTCGCGGCAAAGAGGCCACCTGACTCCAGTCTTCTGGGCCTCTGAGAAGCAGGGCTATGGCTGGGATAGGATACACGAACGGCTCTGGCCGACCACGACGGGATCATGGCCCCCTCGAAGACGATGTGGCTGGGAAGTTGAGGCAGCTCTGGAATCGGTAGGGATCCAGTGCTCCTCCCACCGAAAGGTCCGCCTGGCTGCTACCTGCCCGTCCTCACCTCCTTCCGCGGGTCTTCAAGGTCAAGGGCAGTGCATGCAGGATAGGCCTTGTGAAGCTGCTCACCTAAGATCCTGCCTCCCAGGTGCCAGAGGCTTTGGGTCTGTGTTATCCCAGCGGGAGGTGGTGGGGAACGGGAGGATCAGGGGTCAGCCTGAGACTCTCTCCCTTGGATTAAAAGCCACCAAGGTTCTGGGTCAGGTCTGATTGAATGGGGGGTGGGGGTGGGGAGAGTGTGTTTGTCTCTGGTGGCCCGGGAATGCCAGAGTTGGAGCAGGGCTGAGGGATGGGTTTTGAGTCCTTAATGTCCCCAGAGGAGCTCTGGCAACCTGGGAGATTAATCCTACACACATTTTCTGAGAGCACACCTCTAGAAAGCAGCCCAGTCAACACCAGTCTAGGAGCATTAGCACTCCCACACAGTCACCAGCTTGTTATGTGGTCCCAGCCAGGTGTCTTCTCTGCACTAGGCTCTCAGCTCAGCTCTTTCTCCCTTCAAAGTACCATATAACAGAGGATAGGACCAAAGTTTTGGCAATTTAATAATTATATCCATGTCCATCTAGGCCTGAAGCAGCCACTTGGTAGGAAAACTGGACAGGAGATAGGTACAAGGTCAAACTTGGACTCCAGCTGTGAAATGTTGGAGAATATGACTTTATTCTCTGAATAAACTTATTCCCCAGAATCTTCATCTGTGAAATAAGTAGTTTGGACTACAATGAAATTGATCTGTGAACGACCAGTTGACCTTGGCCTAGTTTCCAGTGACCCCCCAGCCTCAACTGCTTCAGACAAGAGCCAAGGACTATGTTCCCATTTAATGCTTAAGACATCCGAGCCTGAGAGATAGGCGGAGTCCTTCACAGACCTTGGAGACCTTGGCTGTTGTTGCTAAGATTCTTGGGGCAGGGGCAGGGCTAGTGGCCTGGATGAATTCCCAATTAGGAAATTGCATTCTAGATCCTGAAGGCCTCCTGGGAACGGGAGCGGCTGGCTCCAGCTGCCTCCACTCCCTGTGGGATGTGGTTACCACTGCTTTGCCTTCCACCTCAGACCAGCCTGCTTTGGCAGAGAACAGACTGGTGGGTTGGGGGGTGACTTTGGCACCTAGCACCACAGTTTGTTGGCTACTTGTGACTTTTCCCCAGAGAGAGAAAGGGATACCAATGGGGAACATTCAGGCAATAACATTTAAGGGTGTCCCGAGGTCTGGGGTCCCTAACAGGCAAATTCCTCACATGTGTGGAAGGCTTTAAGGCATTCAAACACTTTCGCTGAACCCTCACTGGTAGGGTAGAGATTACAAGTCCTCATTTCACAGATGATGAAATCGAGGTTCAGAGAAATTAAGTGATGTGGCCAAGGCCATCCAATACATAAATTACAGAGTTCTTTCACAATCCCATGGCCTGGCCCTTAGAAACATAAGCTGATGAGGTGATGATGGGTGACAGTCAGCCTCATAGCTGGGAAAGGGCAAAGGTGCTGGGCAAGTGTCCGGATGTCCTGGCCAGGAGGTGTGTCCGTGGGAGAAGCAGCCTGACTCAGGGCCCAGGTCCAGGAGGCCAGGGAGAGGGTGACCTTGAGGCTGCACATCAGCCTAGCCAGGCCTGCAGGGACCCCTGGTGGGGGCCGGGCCTTCTGGTGTGTAAAACAGTAACAGGGGCTTGAAAGGATTACCTGAGACAGTGACAGGGCGGCTCATGTTCATTCTTATTATTTATTTCCCTCCCAAAGAGAATAGGATGTCCTTGAGCCCCATGGTGCTCCCACCTCAGGCTGACAGGAGGAGCCATGGAACACCCACAGTGTGCTTAACACACACACACACACGTTTTCTCATTTCATTCTTAGCACTGGGCAGTTGGTATGATCATCTCCAGTTTATAGAAGATAAGACCAAGGCTTAGACCTGCTCAAGTTCATAGAGCTGCTAAGAAGCAGACCACAGGGTCACCCCAAGGTCTGGCCACCCCCACGCCTGTGCTCTTTACCTGAGCCCTGAGAGTTCCTGCTCTATAGCCTCGGGGCCTCTGAGTCCCCTGGCCAGGGCCCAGCCCTGTGACGGGCTGTCCTGGGACTGGTTTTTATTTAGCTCTGGACTGTCTGGTCGGTTCCTTCATCCTGCTCCAACTTTGCATCTTATTTCCTTCTCAGAGGGGCTCTCACACTTCCAGGCTTTGCCCTCCCACAACTGCCCACAACAGTTCTGGTTGTAGTACTGATAGCCTGAGTTCTGGGAAACCCCTAAGTTCTGAGCAAGTCACCCAGGAGGTCACCCTGCTGACCCCACACAGATACCCACATGCAGATCCCCCTGACATGCATACATGCATGCACGTAGAGAGCTGTACTCAGGCGTGCCAACACCCATGCAGCACACAAATACACACGTCTACAGACACGCTCCCCGCCCCCGAGAGGCATACTCACTTAACAACACTATACAAACACACAGGCACACACACAAACACATGCAGATGTGTATACCCAGACACACAGAGACATATGCACATACAGAGAAACACACTCGGACACACAAATAGATATATACACATGCACTTACCACATAGACACACACACGTAAACGCTTAGAGCCATGCGCACATGAAGATGCTTGGTGTGGGTGGCTTTCCATGGAGAAAACCAGCTCCCCAGCCTCTCTGGGGCTCTGGGGCTCCACTCTGTCCCCAGTTTGCTGGGGCTCACCCCTTCCCCACCCATCCCTATGCACTGCCATGGTTTCTCTCAGGAGAAGATATGTGTGTTCTATGTCTCTGTCTCCTACGAGACCATTGGCTCCCTCAAGGGGGCGGGGGCACTGGTGTCTGCTTTGCTCATGTAGGTCCCCAGACCTAAAACTACTTCATACATGGCAGAAGTGTAAAAAGGATTTACTGAATGAATGAAGGAAGAAAGTGCACCCTCCAGAACAGGGCCCATATCTAGTCCTTTCAGGACACCTTCCACCCAGGGCCTGGACCCCAAAGCCCCTGCTCCAAGTCCACTTTGATTCTGCTCAAAGAGAGAGCTCCCTGAGGGCTGAGGGTCCCAGACAATGGGGCCTCCTCTGTCTCCTGAGAAACTGAGGCCCAGGGAGTGCATGTCTCTTGCCTAGGGACTTAACCTCTGGAGGAGAAGGTTCCAGGCCATCCCCAGACAGGCACTCGCAGCCCTCAAACCCTGCTCTCCTACTGTGCGGGGTGATTCTCTGTTCCCTTAGGGGTCTGGTGCCTTCTGGCCTCCAAAGGCCAGGGCAGGCCTGCCTATCTGGGACCCCTGGGGAACCTTCTAGCATGTTTGCCCTCCAGTCTTTCCTGCGCACAGAGGCCTTCCTGAAATGCAGCTGAGATGAGGTTGTTACCCTGTTTAAAGCCCCCCAAAGGCTTCCCCTGCTCTTGGGGTCAACCCCAGCGCTGCATCCCCAGTGCCCACCCCTAGGTTAATCCTGCTGACCCTGCCTTCTGGCCTCCTCACATTCCTCTCTCCCCTCGTCCCTGGCTCTTCCTGCCTTCCTCCTAAACTTGGCCCACTGGCTCCTTCTCCAGAGAGCTTCCCCTGGGCCTTCTCCCCTTCTGGGTTAGGTGCCCAGCACATCATTTTGTGTTAGTCAAGGAGTCACCTTGGGCAGGTTACTTTGCTCCTCCCCATCACTTCCTCGAGGTGGAGATGACACTCATAGATTGTGAGGATCAGAGGACATGCTGTTTACAACAGGCCTGGCACAGTGAGTGCTTGTTTCCTGCCCTTCCTGAGGAGGCCTTGCCCTTTGGAGGAGCCTCCAGGAGCCTGAGGATGAGGGCCTGGGGGCCATCTGGGGTGGGGCAAATACCAGCAGGATTGAGCCTGCCAGAGAAGGGTGACCCCTCCTACCCTTAGGCCAGGCGCAGGCCAGTGGGACCCTGCTTTCGGGGTCGACAGGCTGCCAAGTCTCTGAGCCCTAGGATTGGCCAAAACCTGGGGGTTTAGATTAGGGGGTGACGTGAGGGCCCTGCGTGTGAGGGGTGAGGCTGAGCAGAGACCCACGGCTGCGACAAGGCTGCTGCGGAGAAAGCTGAGGCCGGCGGCCCGCAGTGCGCACGCGCGCTCATGCCCCGCCTCCCTCTCGCGGGGAGCCCTGGCCCCGGAAGGCGGCGTTCTTGCTGGAGGGTGGGTTGCTGGTGACCTGGCTGGGTTAATGTCGCCCATGAGCTGCCTGGGCTGTGCGAGCAGTGGCTCTGTCCTACCACTAGGTGGGGATCTGGAGTCGTCCAGACCTGGAGTTCGGGCTTGGGTTGAGGCCTGAAGCCCCTCGCCCTCCTTCCACAAGTCAGGCTGTCACCTCTGGGACTCCGGCCCGCCACTGTCATTTCTGGTTAGGTCCTGCTGCTAGGCAGTCGCACTGGGGGAAGTGAATAAGAGCATGAACTGTGCAGCCAGGGAGACCAGCTGTACCTTTAGCTCTGTAGCTTTGACGCCTTGAGCCTCAAGTTCCCTCATTTCTGAAATAGACTCATCTACCCAGTCTGCCCCATTGCCACCCAGAGTGGGGGGATGGGCGTTGTTCTATGTCCTCGGATACCTTATAAAGTGCAGCTGACCCAGGAGTAGGAGCGGAACCTGGGACGGTTCCCATCTGTTCCACCTAGCACTCCCCCAGGGCTCCCTACTCCCAGAGCTCTTTGGGGTCCCAAGGAAGCATGTCTCGTCCTCGCTCTCAGGTCACCATAGCAGAGTGCTGGCTAGAGGCTGGCTGTGGTGACTCACGCCTCTACAATCTCAGCACTGTGGGAGGCCGAGGTGGGAGGATCACTAGAGATCAGAGTAAGCAAGACCCAGTCCTGAAGGAAGAAAGGAAGAAAAAAGAAGAGAAAAGAGAAAGAAAAGGAATGAAAAAAATTAGCCAGGCATGGTGGGATGCAACTGTAGTCCCAGCTACTTGGGAGGCTGAGGCAGAGGATTGCTTGAGCCCAGGAGTTTGAGGTTGCTGTGAGCTATGATGGCGTCACTGCACTCCAGAGCCAGTGACAGAGCCAGACACATTCTCAAAAAAAAAAAAACAAAACACAACGGGGGGGGGGTGGTGGTGGCAGGGGCAATATATGTAACCATAACAATATTTGTACCCCCATAATATGATGAAATAAAAGGAAAAAGGGGGAAAAAGCATGGCTAGAACATGACAAATCCTTGGGGGAGGTGGAAATAAAGGGCTTTGAGCTGTCCGTCTCCCAAACAGGGTGGCACACCCCACAGTCCTTCTGCCTGGAATGTTCCTTTGCCCTTCCTCACCTGTCGTCCTAAATTCCTCATTAGTTTCCAAAGCTCAGGCCCAACTGTCCTCTCCATTATGCCCCATCCACCTGCTCCTCCTTCCTATTCTAGGCTCCCAGAGTCCTGGTGTATTCCTGTCTGCTGGCACTGGCCCATTGGGTCAGAGATCTGGGCTGGGGATAGTCTCCTAGCATATAGGGGATGCTCAGTGCATATACAAGAATATTGCCAGAAGATGAAGAAGACTTTTTGGAAGAGGTGACCTGAAATTCCCCTGAGGGAGCATTCCAAGGGCCCAGGGGCAGATATTGGAGTTGTGGGGGCAGGTGGCACCATCTCCAGCTAAGGAAAAGTTGTGAGCTCCACTCAGGTCTAGCAGTTCTGTGAGGAAGGCCCTGAGGGCAGGTCCAGGAGGGTAGAGGTGGCTGGGAGACCCCGAGGGCCGCGGCTGGGATGGGGTGGAAAGGAACTAGCTCCTTAGAGGGCCTCCTTGGAGCCCCGAGTACCAAACCCACAGTTTATCTGTCCACACTGGTGGGGGCAGGGCCCAGGGCTCATCCAGCCTCTCCTGAGCCCCGTTATGGTCATGGTCACGCCCTCTCTGGAGGTCCTGTCACCACCCCGTGCCTTCCCTATCTGACCATGGCCATTTCCTACTTAGCTGGTGCTACAGGGTTAACCAACCAGTGGAGTCAAAAACTGGGATGGGCCTGGGAGCCTAGATGGCTACTTGTGCTCCCTGCTCGGGGCAGTTTTCAGTTCTTTCCCTGGCTCAGTTTTCCAGGAGGGACAAAATAGAAAAAGCTTAGGTGGTGGTGTCAGACTGGCTCAGCTACTCCAGCTGGGTCACCTTGGGTAAGTGGCTTCACTTCTCAGTGTGAAGCCTCCTCAGGGCACACTGACCCCTCCCTAGCCCTGCACATCGACCTCCTGAATCCCCAGGACTCCCCAGGCACCCGTCCCCCAGACAGTGCCCTGTGTTCCAAACCTTCTTCACCCTCCTGTCACTGGTGGAAACTTACCTGTCACTGGGCTCTCTTGGGGCCTAGCTGGGCAAGGGTCCCATCTGACGTAATCAGCATGTTCCCTTTCCAGGTGCCATGCTTGCTGCTTCCATCAGGGTGGTAGGGACCCAACTCTGGCCCGGGTCCTAGGGACACCGTTTTGGAGGCTTAGAAGTCCCTTCCCCCTTCTCACAAAGGCACTGCCTCCTCCGCCTCCATCAGGCCCTGGCCCTGGGCAGGTTCTATATCAGGTTCTATATCAGGTTCTATATCAGGGCCAAACAGGTTGGCCCAGGGAAGGGGAACAGGGAGCTTGGGATTGATCCTGTTAGGTCACCAGTCATTTCCTTGATTTAGGTGTCCCCTTCTCCCACAGCTCACTGGTCTTTCTCCTGAAGTAGGAGGGATTGGAATGAAAGTTCCCACTTGTTCAGACACCAGAACTCTCCATGCCCAGAGGGCCCTGCTCTTCCTGGTTCTTGCTCCTTAGGGAGCCAGAGGTATCTTTCCCAGGGTCCAGAGGCAGAGGCCATGAAGGGTTTAACCATGTTTGCTTTGAGCAATGACTACACTATTATGTGCTGGGTATGCCTCCTTGATCTCTCAGAGGCTCTGGACACCTTCCTGTTTTGTCTTTCTTTCTCCTTAAAAATTGACATATTTGTATACCATAAAAATTACTTTTTAAAAGTATACAATTCAGTGGTTTTTAGTATATTCACAAGGTTGCACAACTATCACCACTATCTAATAATTCTAGAATGTTTTTGTCACCCCCCAAAATAAACCTTGACCCATTAGCAGTCACTGCCCTTGGCCCCAGCCCTGGACAACCATGAATCTATTTTCTGTCTCTATGGATTTGCCTATTCTGGACATTTTGGGTAAATGGACTCATACAATGTGTGCTTTTTGTGTCTGGCTTCTTTAACTTAGCTTGATGTTCCCAAGGCTTACATGTTGCAGTGTGGATCAGTATTGTAGTCCCTGTTATGACCGAATAATATTCCATTATATGGATACACCACATTTTATTTACCCATCATTAGTTGTTTCTATTTTTGTCTATTATGAATAATGCTGCTATGAACATTCATGCACAAGTCTTTGTGAGAACATATGTTTTTATTTCTCTTGGATATATGCCTAGGAGTGGAACTACTGGGTCAAATGGTAACTTTGTCTTTTTGAGGCATCACCAAACTGTTTTGCAAAGCGGCTGCACCATTTTACCTTCCTGTTAGCACTCCTTTGCCATTTCTTGAACATGCCAAGCATGCTGCTCCTTGGTCCCCTACTCCTTTCTTAGGCCATACATGGCTCTCTGATGTAACATAGGGACCCATTTTCACCCTCACCATTCCCTTCCTCCTGTCCTCTGTTTTTGTTGTTAATATCCTCCATGTTATGACTATTTTACTTATTTTGTTTATTGTTTCTCCTCGCTAGGATGTAAGCTTTGTTTTGTTCATTGTTTTATCATTGCTTCTAGAATGGTGCCTTGCTGAATAACACCTGAATGAAGAAATATAGGACACTGTGCTGGGAACATAGGGTGGAACGTGGTGAGTCCCCATGGAGGTGGGCCACATGTCACCAAGACCACAGGGAGGTAGACTGAGTGTCACCAAGGCCCCCAGCCTGGAGGTTTTCACCCCTGTCGAGTCTGATGTGGAGGCTCAGCCCAAACCACTCACAGATGAGTGGAGAAGGGGATCGGGCCTCTTCCCTTAAACTAGGCAAGGGCTGGGACAAACACGTTTGATAGCTGTGTGATCATTAGACAGGTCTGCTTATGGGATAGGACACTGTTTGTTGACAATGCAACAGTTTAGTGAAAGGATTTGTTTCTCCTCAGGTAGCAGTTGGAGGGGTGTTCAAGTGTGTCAGTGCCCTGCATCAGCCCTGTTTGTCTACTGCCAGGTCTCAGTCTGCTTCAGACACCCAGATGTGAGAACCGCTTGTCAGGAAAGGGTGTTGGCTTTTCCCCATGCCAGGAATGAGGGACACACCGTCCCAGCTGTCCAGCCGACCCAGTGGGTCTTTTGTGGTTTTACCTCAGCCGGCTTCTGGACACATTAGCCAGGAATCCTCCAGTCACAAGGATAGAAACTCAGCTCAAGGTAAAGAAAAAGGGCAGTTCATTGGCTCACATGGGACCTGGGAATTGCAGGGGAGGGGGCCAGCTGGCCTTCAGAATGCAGGGGTGGGGGGTGGACAGAGACATAGGTCCAGGGTCCCTCACCCTCTGCTTCTCTCTCATTTCTTCTCTCTCTGTTAGTCTCATTCTTTCCCTCCGCAGATGAGATTCTTCATGTGGCAGGGAGCTTGGCTGCAGCCAGCTGTGGGTTGTACAGAAATCCAGCTTAGTGGCCATGATCATAGAGTGGTTAGTGCTCTGCCTTGTGCAGCAACCTCGGTTTGAATCCGAGTCATGGCACACACAAAAAAAAACCATGAAAAAACAAATCCAGCTTAGTGGCTCAAGAGAAAAGGAAATGGCTCTGCTGTTCTCTTTATAACAATCCCAGGAAATGCTCCGGTTGCTTCCCTGAGATTATATGCCCACATGCCTCATACACCCATGCAAACAACCCATTCCCATCCACCCCTATTGTCAGTTATGGTGACAGCGGAAAATCAGGTTTGCTGGTCTTTTTCAAAATGCCTGCTAAGTACCAGGTACTTCACAATATGATTTCTTTCAATCCACACAGCTGTTCTGCAGAAAGATATACTGGTCAGGGCTCTTTCAGTTCCTCCTGACAGAAGCCCAGCTGAAATTGTCTTAAACCAAAAAGGGAATTTATTATTCCACATAACTGACAAAAGCAGGAGTGGACTTTAGGCATAGCTGGCTGGATCCAGGGAGTCAAATAAGTCTGGACTGTGGCTCATCAGCTCCAGCTGACTTCCCTCTGCACTGGCTCAGCTCTTAGGCACATTCTCCCCACATGGCAGGAAAGATGCCCAACGAGCCTAGGCCTTGAGCCCTTAATCCAGGAGAAGAAAAAGGCCCACCCTCTGTGCATACAGTAAACTACCTGGGGGGACTGATTTGCTCCCATGTGGGTCCTGTGTCTACTCAGGGGACACGAGAAAGGCAACCATAATTGGCAAGGCCAGGTCATGAGCACACCGCTGCAGCAAGGGGATGGGACAGAGTTGTGAGGAGTAATGCTGCCAGAGCAGGGAAGGGGCAGACAGATTGCATATGGCCAGCTATAACTTTCCCATTGTACAGATTAGTAAACTGCAGGTGGGAGAGATAAGGTAACTTGCTGGGGCCATAGAGCTAGAGACAACTGGGATTCAAACCCAGGTGTGTCAGCTCTTCCTAGAACATCATCCAGCCTCCTTTTAAAGCGTTGAGTTAAATTATCACTTAAAGAAGTAGATTCCTATTGATAGCCATATCATTCCCAGCACCCCTTGCAGCAGCTGTTACAGAGAGGATGGCTTGGGAGGCAGAATTGGCCACACTCTTGACAAAGATCCTTTATCAGTTCTTCTTCATAGTTGAAAGAGTTTCTGCAGTCATTGAATCCAGCTGCCATACTCAATTAATAATCCAAACAAGGTTTGATTTTTGGCAAGTGTGCCAACACCATTCAATGGGAAAAGGACAGTCTTTTCAACAAATGGTGCTGGAAAAACTGGATATCCACATGCAAAGGAATGACGTTGAACCTTTACTTTACACAATATACAAAAATTAACCCCAAATGGATCAAAGCCCTAAACTTAGGAGCTAAAGCTATAAAACTCTTAGAAGAAATCATAGGGGGAAATAAATCTTCATGACTTTGAATTTGGCAGTGGTTTCTTAAATATAACTACAAAAGTATAGATGACAAAAGAAAAAATAGGTAATTTGAACTTCACAATATAAAATACTTTTGTGCATCAAAGACATTATCAAGAAAGTGAAAAGACAACCCACAGAATGGAAACAAATATTTGCAAATCGTTTATCTGATAAGGGTCTAATATAAAAAAATATATTAAGAACTTTTACAACTCTGCAACAAAAAGACAAATAACCCAATATCAAAATGGCCAAGGGATGTTGAATAGACATTTTTCAAAAGAAAATATACAAGTTACCAGTAAGAACATGAAAAGATGCTCAAGATCATTAGTCATTAGGGAAATGCAAATCAAAGCCACAATGCAATACCAGTTGACACCCACTTGGATGGCTAGACTTAAAAAAAAGACAAACAAAAACAAAAACCTCAAACCCCAAATAAGTGTTGGCAAGGATGCAGAGAAATTGGAACTCTTGTAAATTTTGTTGGGAATGTAAAAATGGTGCAGCTGCGTGGAAAACAGTTTGGTGGTTCCTCAAAAAGGTAAACATAGAATTAACCATATGGCCCAGCAATTCTACTTGTAGGCATGTACCCAAAAGAATTGAAAATGGGGACTCAACCAGATACTTGTATACCAATGTTCCTTGCAGCATTATTCACAATAGATAAAAGGTGGATATAACTCAAGTGTCCATCAACAGATGAATGGACAAACAAAATGTGGTATATACAAACAATGAAATACTATTTAGCCATAAAGAGGAATGAAGTTTTAATGCATGCTACAATATGGGTATAATTTGAAAATATGCTAAGTGAAATAAACTAGACACAAAGGGACAAACATTGTATGATTCCACTTAGCTGCTATATCCACATAGGTAAATGCATAGAAACAGAAAGTAGATGAGGGGTTACCAGGGGCTGGGAGGAGAGGAAAATGGGGGGTTATTGCTTAGTGGGTATAGAGTTTCTGTTTGGGGTGATGAGAAGGTTTTGGAAATTGATAGTGGTGATGCATACACAATGTGAATGTACTTATGCCACTGACCTATTAATTAACACTACATTGTAATTGACATTACATTGACCTATTAATTGACACTCTCAGAGTTTGACTGTCCAACTGCCATGGGTCCTATTTGTGCTACTGGAATTGTCATGGTGTCTCCTGTGTCCCTTCTCACTAGTCTTCTCCACATTTTCCAACATTGTCTACAAAGATTTCATGAGAACTTGATGAAAGCCTTACTGAACGCTAGGTAGATGGTATTTCTTTCATCTGCCAGCCTGGGCATCCTATTACAAAAGAAAATGAAGTTACTTTGGCCTGCCTTGCTCTTTGAGTGGGTAGGAGAGTGCAGGACAGTGGTTTTCAAACTTGAGCATGCATCAGAACCACCTAGAGGGTGACCACTGGGCTCTGCCCAGAGAGTTTCAGATTCAGTAGGCCTGGGTGAGGACTGGGCACTTGCATTTCTAGTAAGTTCCCAGGTGATGCTGAGGTCTCTGGTCCAGGGACCACATTTTGAGAACCATCGATGTATGGAGATGAGAGTGGACACTTTGGAGTTAGATAGACTTTAACTTGTTTGAGCCTTAATTTCTTTGAAATAGAGATAATAATCCCACCTCACTGGGTAGCCGTGGATTAAAACAACAATGTACAAAACCACTCAGCTTGGTGCCTAGTACAAAAGTGATCAATAAATATTGGTTCTTATATGATCCAATATTGAGCTAATGAATCTGTGCTGGCTGCTTTTCTAGACGGCTCACACACCGTCGCCAAATAATCCATCTACACACTGGGGAAGGGGTTGCTCAGCCACTGGCCTCATCTTTTCTTGGGCTGATCTGGATAATGGATAGGTTTCAAAATTACTTACCTGAAGAAAGTAGAATAATTGACTAAGAAAGAATGGGGAGAAGAGAATAAATCTTCCAGGTGGGAGGATGGGTAAGCAGCTGGACTGGGGTGCTCATTCATGGTGCTGTCAGATGTTTACTTTCACGGCCCATTCCTAGATACCAGGCCAGGAAGGTGGGGGCCGGCCCAGCCTAGCTCCCAGGCAGGGCAATCCTCTGCCCCAGACAGATACAGTGGCAGGCTGCAGAGCACCCAGAGCACCCTCAGTCCTGCAGCTCCTTGAGTTCCAGGGTTCCTGCCCTACTCTCGAGACTCATCTTTTAAAACCGAAGTATTACTCAGCTTCTGTCTCCAATATTCTATTTTGGGCCCTGCCTGGCACTCCAGTCCTTCTGCCTCAATGGCTGCCCCCAGGCCTGGGCTCTGAGAGTTCTCTCCCACCTCTTACACCCCCCCACCACCAACTCCAGACCCTGAAAGGAGAAAGGCGTCCAAGGTTTCCAAGAACATTTGGGAATAACATCCCCTCAAGATAACATCACCCTGGATTTAGGATGGGCCCAAACCTAATGAATCATGTCCTTATAGGAGAAAGGACACAGAAGCAGACACACAGAGGAGAAGGCCACAGGAAGACCCGGGCAGAGACTGGAGTGAAGCTGCCACAACCTGAAGACCTCTAGGCACCACCAGAAGCTGGAAGAGAAGGAAGGACTCTCCCCTGGGGTCTGCAGGAGTGTGGCTCTACTGGCACCTTGACTGCAAACTCCGGTCTGCAGAACTGTGAGAGAAGAAATTCCTGTTGCTTTAAGCCACAGAGTTTGTGATAATTTGTTCTGGCAGCCTTAGGAAACGAATGCACCTTTCCTTGCATTTGACCAGAGGTTCGCCTGGGCTCCCTCTCCCTGTAAAGTTCTATCCGCACGTTCAGTTTCTCTCTCTTCCCAGTGGAGGCTGCTATCGCTCAGGGAAATTTACCTTGGTGTTAAGTGGAAACAAATATGATAATTTAGTTAAAAAGTCCTTTCCTTTGAGCCATTGAAATCTTTCCCTCACACAACTGCATTCAAAATGAGGCCTTCTTGGGGGAGCGTGGCCTGCAGATTTGTGACACCCGCTTGGCCCCCTGGCTGAGCCAGCCCCTGTACAGAAGGCACCTCTGCTGTGGTGCTGATTTCAGCACTGCAATGTCATGAGAGCACTTTTTTTTTGCTGTTATTTTTGTTTTTTTGAGATAGAGTCTCCCTCTGTCACTCCGGCTAGAGTGCATACATCATAGAATGTATTTCATCATAGCTCACTGCATCCTCAAACTCCTGGGCTCAAGCAATCCTCCTGCCTCAGCCTCTGGAGTAGCTGGGACTATAGACTGAGCCAAGATGCCTGGCTAATTTTTCTATTTTTAATAGAGATGGGGTCTTGCACTTGCTCAGGCTGGTTTCAAACTCCTGAGCTCAAGTGATCCTCCAGCCTCAGCCTCCCAGAGTGCTAGGATTACAAGAATGAGCCACCATGCCCAGCCCAGAGCCCTCTTTGTCCTGGCTTTCTGAGCCTGTAGCACAGGCCTGGCACATCACAGTCGTCATTAATTTTTATTGACTTACTTGGATGAGGGAGGAGTTTTCCCGATGTCCCCGCTCTGGCCACCTGTACTCAGTGCTAGGAAATTCTGTGAGAAGTGAAAACATACGTCCACACAAAGACTTGCACCTGAATGTTTACAGAGGCTTTATTCATAACAGCCAAAACCTGGGAACAAGCCACATGCTCATCAACAGGTGAATGTGGTATATCCATAAACTGGAATACTACTCAGCAGTTGAAGGACTGATCTACCCGGCAGTATGGATGAATTGCAAAATCGTTATGCTGAATGGAAGAAGCCAAACATAAAGGAATATATATTATATGATTCTATTCACGTGTAATTCTACAGCATGCAAATAACTCTACAGAGACAGGAAAAAGACCAGAAGTTGCGGGATTGGTGGGGGTGGCTGGGGATGGGGTGAGTGGGGGTTGACCGCAAAGGGACACTTAGGATCACTGAGAGGGGACTCTTAGGATCATGGAAGTATTCCGTATCTTAACTGTAGTGGTCATGGCTAAACTGGTGTTTACTTTTGTTAGAACTCATCCAACGGACACTTTAAGTGAGTACAATTTACTGTATGTAAAGTATACTGCTATAAAGTTGATTAAAAAGAAAAAAATCGTGTGACACCATTGACCCTAAATACTCCAGCCTCTGCTTCAATAAAACTGGGATATGAATGTAATAAGTGTACCCCTCTGGGGGGGATGTTGATAACGAACATGTAGAGGCAGGGGGCATTTGGGAAATCTCTGAACTTCCCTCTCAATTTTGCTGTCAGCCTAAAACTGCTCAAAAAAAAAAAAAAAAAGATAAGGTCTTAAAGAACAAAAGGGTATGCATCTTGCATGCAGAGAGGTCTGTTTGACCTACAGAGTCAGAAAGTGCTTGTCTGGATCTCCACCTCAGATCTAGGTGGGAACCGCTGTGCAAAGCTAAGCAAGACTTTGAACTAGAAGGGCATGAGAATGGCCGCTTGTCTCTCCACCTGCCTCTGGCCAGCAGGAGTCCACTAACTCCTCCAACCTCCCCGTTCCTAGAGTCTCATGCTCTGGCTGCCAGCACCGGTTGCCCAGGCTAGTTAAATCTTTCCCCCTTCAGGAAAAGCTCCTGACTTCGAGTCCATTCTGGGAAGAACAGGAAACAGCCCTCCTCCCTGAATCCCACTGTCTTTCAGAAGGTAAAGGTTTATTAAGTGGTTCTGCAACTTGGGCAAACTGGCCTAACAGTAATCCTGTTGAACACATTCCCCATGCCGAGAATGGAGGGTGTGAGGAAAATTCTGTCTTCTGCTCATTCAGGCCATGGGGAGATGCGGCCATCATGGCACTTGCCACTCTCAGGCAGCCATTTTGTTTTCACAGGCAGGAATATGCGTGTTGGCAGCGGGGAGACAACATTGAGAGAAGGTCTGCGTCTCGGTCCAATCACCTGGCACCTCAGGGTCAGCAGCCAGACCCCTTCCTCAGGCGGGCTGGGCACATCCCCAGGATGCCAGGCCTTTGAGCAGAGGGCGAGAGTCAGGCCTTAGCTGGTCTCCTTCCCCCAGAAAAGGATAACTGTCCTCTCTCTGTGCACGTGCCTTGGGATCATGTTTTAAAATCCCCAGTTGGAACGTCATGCCCAATAAAGAATTTGTGCCTCGATAGATGTGAAAATCCCTTAAAGATATACAGGCCATAGTGACATATTGAATAAATTGTATTTCTGGAAAAGAATGCTGCTATTGGGCCGGGCGCTGTGGCTCACGCCTGTAATCCTAGCTCTTGGGAGGCCGAGGCGGGCGGATTGCTCAAGGTCAGGAGTTCAAAACCAGCTAGCGAAGAGCGAACCCCGTCTCTACTATAAAAGAAATAATCAATTGCCAACTGATATATATATATAAAAATTAGCCGGGCATTGGTGGCGCTGCCTGTAGTCCCAGCTACTCGGGAGGCTGGGCAGAAGGATCACTCGAGCCAGGAGTTTGAGGTGCTGTGAGCTAGGCTGACGCCACGGCACTCACTCTAGCCTGGACAACAAAGCGAGACTCTTGTCTCAAAAAAAAAAAAAAAAGAATGCTGCTATTAATGTAGACACGGTCCTGAAAATTCTAGGCTAATGATTCTAAACAGAGGCTACTGTAACCCTCAAGGGACATTTGGAAGTGTTTGGAGACTTTTTTTTTTAATTTTTTTTGAGACAGTCTTGCTTTGTTGCCAGGCTAGAGTGAGTGGCCGTGGCATCAGCCTAGCTCACAGCAACCTCAAACTCCTGGGTTCAAGCAATCCTCCTGCCTCAGCCTCCCAAGTAGCTGGGACCACAGGCATGCGCCACCATGCCCAGCTAATTTTTTCTATATATATTAGTTGGCCAATTAATTTGTTTCTATTTATAGAAGAGATGGGGTCTTGCTCTTGCTCAGGTTGTTTTTGAACTCCTGATCTCAAGCAATCCGCCCGCCTCGGCCTCCCAGAGTGCTAGGATTACAGGCGTGAGCCACCGCACCCGGCCTGGAGACGTTTTTGGTTTTCACAACCTGGGCTAGAGGCTGTTAAGCATCTAGCAGGCAGAGGCCAGGGGTGCTGCTAAATACCCTACCATGCACAGGACAGCCCCGCCACGCAGGATCACCAGGCCCCAATGTCAGTAGTGTCAAGTCTGAGAAACCCTGCTCTCGGCTCTCTGTACCTGTGGAGCCCAGGGTGTCAGCCCTGGCATTGGTTTTTCCTTGTACCTACTTTGGTCCTGCCTTGATGCTGTTGTTAGAAGGGAGAAGTTGGGAACCCTCAGCTTTCTGCTGCTTCCTCTTTTGTTGGCAGATGCAAGGAGACAACCGCCTCTGAAGAGGTGCCCCAGCTACCGCCCCACGTCTGGCGAGAGGCAGGCAAGGTCTTGAGTTGGTATCTCCCACCAAGCAGACCAGAACCGACACGCCATGCAGCAGGAGGGCGTGAACGAGCACTGGAGAGAGAAGCCTGGGTTCTCGTTCTATCTGATTCTGCTTCTAACTTGGTCATTTTAACCTCTGTGCCTCAGTTTCCTCCTATGTGCATTGGGCACAGGTTGCTCACCCACCTCACAGGGTGAGGGGAGATAGAGGAGGGGGAGCACCTGCTGTGTGGGCTGGCAGGTCGGGGGAGGGTAGATCTGGGTCCAGAGACGGGAGTGTGGCCATAGGAGCACTCACTGTCTAGGTACTGTGACCTGCCATTGGGGCACAGAAATGGAGTGGCCGGCACAGTGACGCTGGGTGGCAGGTGGTGCCTTACATTTGAGGGTGTTGTTTTCTTCCAGAGCCCTCAGACAGAGGGAGCGGGAGGAGTGCACGGGTCCGGAGGAGCACCCAGGCCGTATCCGGGGAGGTTAGCACAGGGAGCCATGGCTGGAGCAGGTGTCTCGTGTGCTTGGCCAAGAGCAGGCTGATGAGCAGCTTGGCCTTGTGAAGTGATGAAAACTAACACCCACAGCGGCTGTTTAGAAAGTAGGCACATTTTCAGTTCCTTGTGAGATGGTTTTGCAACCTTTAGGTGTCTTTAAGCATTTCTGTCCCTCTTTTCAAGATGTTTAAAATCTAGTTTTTAATTTCTAATTGTTTTGTAGCTAATCATTTCATCTCTGTGTTGTATAAATTAGCAAACATTTGGAATAACGGAAATGTCCAACAATAAAACTTTTATTGGAATGAGTGAAATATCTAACAAGGATCTGTGGGAACAAACTAGATGTACACACACAGGGGCAGGAAAAGAAAACCACATCCCAAGGTTACAGATTAAGATAAATTAGAAAAGTTTCAAACTCTAAGTCCTAAAACCACACACATATACACAGAGGTGATTTTTTTATTTTTATTTTTAGAGGAGGCAGTGCAGTATAGTGGTCATGTTTGCTGCTTAGAAGTTAGAAAGAGACCTCCGTTTACTAGCAGTGTTACCCTGGGGCTGTTATTCAAACTTCTCTCCACTTCAGTTTTTTTCACCTGTAAAAAGTGCATAATGATGATGATATGCCACAAGGACACAGGAGCCTGCCGAAGGAGCTCCTAATGGCCAAAACAAAACAATTTAAGCAAGAAAATAACACAGTATTAGATTACAAACCAGTAATACCCATGCGGTTACACTGATATAAATGAGTACACAAATTAATGGGAGAGAACAGGCAAATCTGTGAGGATTCTCAATATTTATGCAGATACTCCATCCTCAAGGAGGTAGGTTTTAACTCCCCCCACTCAGGAAGTGTGGGCTGTGCAGAGCAATTTCCTTCCCATTGCCACAGGATGGAATGGGACTACCTCTGCCAGGTTTGATCAAGGTCAATATCATTAGTGATAAGTCATACCACATACCACATACCTTTGAAATGATATGAGAATGACACATCTATGGTCTTCTTCCCCAAAAACCTATAACCTGTCAGGTGTGGCCTCTTGGCAGACTGTTGTTCTGCTTCTTTGGCTCTTGCTTGGAAAATTCACAAGCAGGACTGGTGTGACAGAATAACCACAGACAGGAAGCAATTCCACACAAATAGCTTTTCCTGCAGAAAGAAGGGAGCTATACAAAGCGAGAGTATGTTCCAGAAAGGAACGGGTCAGCCTCCACGAGTGGAGAAAGACATTAAGGACTCCCAGGTGATTTCCTTTTATCGCCCTGGTTTGCGGGAGGGCTTACAGGTGGCGTGAGATGTTACCAGGGATTGATATACACGATTGTCAGGTGTTCTGTGTTTTCCCTGCAATCCCATCCCCTAATTGTCCACCACCCACCCCCC